GCAGGTAGCGCCCAAGCCAGCCAGTCAGAATGGAGATGCCGCCCAGAAAGAGCAATTGCTAAGGCCGGAGGAGCGGGATGCAGAACTACCAACGAATCATCAGTCAGAGCGGGGATCTTCCTAGAGCAAGCTCCACCAATTACAACTTAGAACTACTTACGACCGCCTCATCAGACCCACCAATCAGAGCACATCCCCCTCCCGTGCCACCAATCAGGGAGTTCCCAGGCCCCACCCACCAGGGAGGTGGCTACTCACCCAACCTCCGGAGGATCTCCTGGGCATTGGGCTCCTTGCAGAGAGGCTTGAGTTCTCCGGGAAACTTCTGGTGGCTGCAGGCTATGGGAACCACGGGCCCACCACTCTTCCTACGGTTCCGAATGCTGGGCTCCTGGAGCTCCCGAAGGTCTTTGAGCTTCTTCACTGACTCCAGAGAAAAAGAGAACTCTCCATCCTGAGAGAGACAAGTTCAGAGTGTCAGGCCAGGCTACAGCCTGCTCTGGGATGCCCGCATGGTTCCCCAAGACCCAGGTCGATGCTCTGGCTGAGAGGAAGGTCTAGAACTGAATCTAGTTCCTTCACTTCCCAGCCGTGTGCCTAGGGCTAATTACAGAACCTCTCTGAGGCTCAATTTTCCTCCTCTGAAAAATGGGACTAATAATCCCATTCTCCCAGGATGATCATGGGGCCTCCCTTGAGGAGCTTGGCCCCTGGCAAGCCCTCAGTAAATTGGCTAATCAACCCGCTTTCCCAAATGGTGATTTCTCTTCTGTCCAAGTTTGAAGGGGAGGGCATACGAGACAGGACTGAGAAACAGGTTCCTGAGAAAGGGCCACACCTGAGACCTTGCTCCAACTCCAGAAAGAGGGGGTGCTTTCTCAGGGGACGGGCCCTGGGAACTGGGAGCAGAGAGCAAGCCGGGCTGGGGTAGGGACAGAGGATTTACCTGTACGGTGACTCCCCCTGCCAGGACTGCCCAGGTCCCCAGGAGGCACAGTGCAGAGAGCAGGAAGGTATTCATGGCAGCAGTGCCCAGGAGGGAGAAGCAGTCGGTTCTGGATGCCAGGGGGAAACAGTGGGGTTTTTAAAGAGGGCAAGGTTACTGAGTAACCCGGGAACCATGTCAGCATGTCACCAGCTTGCTTTCAACTCAGGCCTAACCAGATAAGGCTGGAGACAGCCCTGGCAAATAAGAGATCAGTCCCAGAAGCCCGGCAGAAGCCCCGCCCCACCCTGAGCTCCTTCCTACTTTAACCCCTAGCCAGGTGGGTCCTGTGTTCATTCACCAACCACACGCACTCACTGACACCTGCTATAGGCCGGCCCTGGCTGGGGTGGGGCTGCAGACCGAGCCCAGCCCTTAAGGAGGGAGGCCTAGACAGTGGTAATGCAGGGTGGTCAGGGAGTGGGGGTTGGGAGGTGGAGAGGCCAGGGTGGTGCCCCCTCACCCAGCCTGGGGCAAGCAGTTCAGAAAGATTTCCCAAAGAAGGTTGTGCCGGGGCTGAGTTCTGGAGAAGGGGTAGAATTTTCTTAGAGAAGGGGCAAGGGTTAGAAGGCCACTTCTTGCACAGGACGCTATATGCAGAACATCCAGGAGGTGAACACGGTCTGGAATATTCAGGGAAATGTGAGGAGTTCGGCCTGCAGGGAGGAGGGGCTTCCAAGGGGGCTTCAAATGATGAGAGATGAGTCGCAGGCCAAGGCAGGTCCTAGGTTTGGCCACTATGACTTTGAGGGAGGCCTCAGCTCTTCCTGTCCCACAGGCCTGGGTTCAAGTCCTACCTGCTGCCTGATTTTAATGTGCATGAACTTGGGCAAATTGTTTCTCCTCTCTGAGCCTCAGTATCCCTTGTGGATCAATAATTCTAATACCACCCACCTGGTGGGCTCACTGTGGGGATTAAATGATGTCATACAAATGCTCAGCTCGGTGCCTGGCACACAGGAAGCACTCAGTGAAAGCTCATTCAGCTATTATTATTATTTTGATCAATATCAACAGCAGCTTCTGGCCCCGGTTGACCCCTCTGGTGACCACCTGCCTGCCTGTGCTGACCTGGCTCTCCCGTCTGTCCTTCAGTCTCAGACGGTCTTAGAATGAACTCCTCCACTCTCCCTCCAGATACCCTGGCTGCTGCTCCCCCAGCCCTCTCCATCCCGCTGTTTCTGCCTTCTGACTACCCCCACCATGCGTGCCTTTCCTTCAACCCCTTTCTTCCCCAACTAGACCAGCCTAACCGCTCTGCCCTGGCCTTTCTTACCAGGCTCACCTCCCCAACCCTTCCTGAACATGCTTCCCTGCCTTTAAGCATGCTATTTTATCTGCCACCCTTGTCACTAGGTGAACTCCTCCTCAAACTTTAAGACCTGGACCAAAGAACCCCCACTCCATCCCTAGCTGCCTCTTGTAGCTCCCATAGAAGCAGGCACGTTCCTCTACCGGGAATGTTGGGCAGGATTACTCGGGTGTATGTCTCTGCCCCTCTAGACTCTGATCACCACGAGGACTTGCCCTGGTCCAGTGGGTGTTCATCGGACTCTGTTGTGAGCCAGGCCTCCAGGACACAGAAGAAGGAAAGCCCTGGGAGCTCCGTGGTTCTAAGGTACAAACAAACCAGGCTAGAAGCCAGGAAAGCTGGGAGAGGGGCAGGAACCGTTCGGTGGAGAGAGTAGGTATTGAAGAAGGAGCTGGAGGAGTCCAGCCAAGGGAGGGGCACGTTGGAGTGCGTGCATGTCTGTGCATGCTGAGGGGCGTGTGTATGTGTGTGCACCCCAAGGTCTGCACAAGTCCAGCCATGTGGCGGCCTCTGCTAGCTGAGCGCTGGGTGGGAGCGCACCCCCGGGGAGGGTCAGAGATGGGATAAGGTCTGGTAGGGTTATGGATGGAGTCCAGGTTGAAGGTGAGGCTAGACGTTTGCGTAAGGGTAGAGTGCTGTGATTGGGATGGAGGTGAACACCAGGTACAGATCCGGGGTACAGCTGGGGTAAGGGGAAAGCTGCTTAGGGTCAGCCTGAGGTTCTGGGCTGGGGTCGGGGCTAAGCTGCGGCAAGGCGGACGAGCAGTTAGTGTAGGAGTTCAAGTCGGGAGCCAAGGTTAGAGGGAGCAGAGGGTGGGGCGGGACTTCAGGGGTTTAGAATTGGGGTGCGTCTGAGATTGGGTTGATGTCGGGATTGCCAATGATGTGGATGCTGGTTAGGACTGGGTTTGGGATCAGGGTTGGGTCAGTGGGGGACTCAAGGAAACTGAAATATAGTTTAAGGATGAGGCTTGGGTGGGGCTGCTGTGTGCTGGGAGAGCCCCGTTTCTGGCTTGCTTTGGTTTTTTTTGTCTTTCCCCTCCTGAGGAACAGAGGGACTGAGGGGGCTTTGGTTCTTAGAGCCTCTTTGTCCCACAGCCCCCTAGCCAGGGCCTATCTGGTGCCAGGTGGGACTGGAGTGGGTGGGGGCTGCAGGAGTGACGTAGTTAACACAGTTCACACTGTGGGAAAGAGGAAATAGCTCCCTGCCCTCAGGACTTTGGGCCCTGCCCTACCTAACTCCACCTCTGATGTCTGCCCTGGGAAATGGGAACCAGCTCCCCTTCCCGTACCCTCCCAGCCCAGCCCCGGCCCAGGTGTGAGTTCGGGCCCCCTCCCTGCCGGGGGCTGGATCTTGGGGCCCTTCTGGAACCCCAGGCCCACACCTGAGTCCTGAGGCATTGGTCCCCAGGACACCCAACACCCCTCTTCGTTCCTTATGGGCAGCAGGGGAGGCTGGGGTTGTTGTGGTTTCCACATCCGAGGCCACCTCTTTTGGCAAACTCCTGCTCCTCTGTAGTCTTCCAGGACATTCTGCCTCTACCTGCTGCCCTACCCGAAAACCCATCCGTGGCTGCCCCAGACCTTCAGAAGAAAGCCCAGACTCCCTGGCCTGGCATTCAAGGCCCCTCATGATCAGCCCCTGCTCACCCTTCAACCAGAATCCCAAAAGCGCCCCAAAGAATGAACTGGGAGGCAGGGCCCAGACCTGCTGTCGGTGACAAAGCTCCCACTTTGAAGCTAGGCAGCCCTGGCCTAGAGTCCCAGCCCCATCAGTGAACAGCTGTGTGGCCTTTCCCAGACTCGGTTTCTACATCCAAAAAGTGGAGACAAGAACCCCATTGCGAATTTCGGATTGTCCGGGAAACTTTCCTCCCTGACGCCCAGCTCCAGTAAGGCTGGCTTAAGACCATCTCTACCTCCTCTGGGCTCCACCAACCTCCTACCTACCCTTTCCCACTGTGAAACCTGCCAACCTGTCTGTCCTGCCCACTCTCCGGTGAGCTCCTGGAAGCAGAGCCTGTGTCGTGCTTTGTTGTGACCCCAGTGCTCACACAAGGCCTGGCATCTAGTGGGGCCGCTGAGCCCTTAGGGGATCGGGAAGGTAGTGGTTTTTGCAATAGCCGTGGATGGATATTTGTCAGACACCCACTATGGACTAAGTGCTCTACAGGTGTGGAAGCCAGCCACCCCTCACCCCCACCAGCAGCTGCCTGAGAGGATGCCTGGTGGTACTCCCTTCTGCCCAGCGGTTAACTCAGCCTGGTTCCAGCGTGCACGTCAAAGTTGGGTCCGCCGAGGCCCGGTCCGCCAGGGCCAGAGGCCCCCCCCCCCCCCC